CCTCCTCCTCCTCATATTAGTGGTCGTCTTCTTATTCTCTCTCCTTTTTTATTGTTTTTCATTCTTCTTCCAAGATTTTATCTAAGCTGTGCATTCATTCCTCCGTGTGAACAGAAACATCACCTGTGTTTTCCAGTAGATCAGCTACCTGTGAGTGTTTAGAGTTCCCACCAATCTCTGATAACCTTTCCTTCACACTGCTCATGTTCATTTGCAAAATGACCGCTCTTCCTCAGAAGAGTAAGGATAGTAGGTTGCTCTAGTCTACATCTGTACTACAGTCTGTTTATGGCACACTGATCGTACGATATATATGCGTATAGCTCCAGGACGATTCCACTGGAGAAACTGCTGCATGGTTCTCTTTGTAGGCTGCTTTGCCGTGTTCTACCTTGACATCAGAAGAATCTATTTTGTAATGGTATGCCAGCAGAGAGAGAACTGTATAAAGGAGGTACAAACGATGCACGTTATGTCAGGGTGCGAACAGCCGTGATAGATAAAAATTCCTATGATCCTAAGCACACTCATAACTGGGTGTGCCAAAGGACTTCCTTTTCTTGGTGGTCTTTAAACCATTGACAGTGATGCTGTGTACTCTCAAACCATGTTTGTGTTTCCTCTTCTTGGTTGCTGTTTCATCTATGTACTATCTTACTAATGATTCACTCTGAGCAATCAATCACTTCCTCTAACAAATTTCAAACAATGAAGCTGTTTTGTCCAGATTTTTTGAGGTCTCCTCCCAGCAGTATTGCAGGTGTGGGTAGTGCACGCATGTGTGTAGGTATAAAATGTCTTTTTAAGACAATAGTTAGTTAACGTTAGAAATGTCTTCAGGTTGGAGAAGTATGTTCAGGTTGTTTGGATAATGGCTGTGAGCTTTCAGGGTCTGTAAGAGGAAAAGCGGTAGATTACTGTGACATAGAGCTGCTTGGACAGTATCCAGTAAAAACTTGAACCTTTTCCAGGCAAATAGGCTTTGAATGTGCTGACTATAACAAGAGAGCATTAGAAGCTAATTTGTTAGTGGGTTTATTATCACATTTTACTTTAAATTTGATCTCTTAAGATGTGTTGGGAAAAGAATTAAGCTCAGCATCAATAGTTAGAATTGCAGTTGTAAAAATTAGTGATACTTAGATAAGAACCTTTTGCAAAGCCTTTTTACCCATTTGTTTAGACACAGCTTTGGAGTTATTTTACCTCTTACTGTAGACTGCCTAGAATAATATACAGAAAATAAAAAAAAAAAAATTAGTAGCAAACAGATGTTATCTTTATTTGACATGTGTTAATATGTCTTGAAAGTTTTACTTCAGTTTTTACAACTGAGCTAATTTAAATTATCAGCTTCCTATACTTATTACCGAATGAACGCAGTCTTCTTTTTTGGCTTCTTTCTGATTGCTGGCTTTACCCTTGCTCTTACTTTTTTGTGTGTTGGAAGTTTCCTGAAAACATTGCAATCTAGTTCTGTAGGGCATATTTGTTGGTAGCTAACAGTTGCTGGTTTTATTTTTAAATAGTTCTGGAAAACGTACAGTATAATAAAGCCTGGTGTACTTCCTTTGCAAGTTTTCGCCTGGTATGCACTGATACTGAAAGTGTATGCTTGACTTTACACGTGCTGTAGTCAACTGTGATGGGATTGTCGAAAGTTAACCACATGCTAAGAGTTCATAAATAACATGACTAAGGATAACAAATTAAAGAGAAGATGAAGGAGTGGGAAGTGAAAGTGTTGCAGCAACATCAAAAAAATTACGTGGTTGCTCAATTGGCTCGTTTTCAGGCTTTCCTTGCAAGTTTTTAAATTGTGTCAGGTTTTATGATCTAAATTCATGGTATAGGCAGAAACAAATATAAACTTTCTTCCATAGATTTCTGTGTGGGGAAACTATCTGTCAGATGCCTTACTGGTCCATATCTTTGGCATTTTGATGACTAGAAGACACCACCTGTTTTTACCACTTTGTAGCACTAGCCTGATGCCCAGTGGGTTAATGAATTGCCCATGTTTTTATAAATTGCCCTGTAGCCAAGCAGCTGTGTTACAGGCCACCCGGGAAGCTGATGCTCACCAGTGACACCCATGGGCAGTGGAAAAGCAAAACCAAACTGGGCATGTTGTGGGCATTTGAATGTAGCAAGAGATTTCAAAGGTCTGGAAATGCTGAACTTTCAGTCCCACCCCAGTGTAACAACACGCATAATGTTATCTGTGAGGCATGCACTTGTGGGGCTGTACCAGAATTTTGGGTGTTAGCTTATTTAACAGTCTGGTTTTCATACCAGACTGTTTTTCTTTGTGCCTTTACAACGCGACTACATTGCACCAGATTTCTGCTGTATCAGTGAATGACGGTTTTGTGACTGCAGCGGCCATGCTCTTTCAAGATTTCGCGTTCCCTTTGGTTTCTGTGGAAGAGCTTGGTCTGGTCAGAGAAGTTCTCCACGGCAGGAAGGCTGTAGGTTTAGGGTTTTTTTTTCCTGCTCTCTCCAGTTATTTTCAGAGCTCTCTGCAATTCAACTTGCAGTGAAAACGCAATGGTTCTTGGCCAAGAGGGACTAAGCCAGCTGTGCTGTTCCGAGTGATCTCAAGGCACCAGGCACTGAGGTGTCATTACTCATACTACTCTTAAAGCCCATGTTATGTCTGGGAGGCATTAACCGTGTTGGGTACATCCAGGGTGCCGTCTGTGCTGCTGCCTTGCTGAGCTGTGTGGAGAGGTTCCCAACAAAGAGCAGTAAATAAGGGGCTTGCATTTGCAGTGCCGTTTTCAAGCTCTGTGGAAACCATCCTGCATCCGCAGAGGAGGCCATACAATGCAGATTGGGTAGGTACATCTGTATGGGTTGTACAGTACTGTGAAACCAGTGTCCCCTCGCTGGTACGCTTTGGTTGACAGTGAAATAGTTAACAAGGGGAAAGCTCTGCCACTGTTGATATTCTCAGGCTTTTCCGAAAGCCTCTGCTCTGAGCCACTGGCGGATTCAGGCAGACATCTTCTTGCAGTGCTTTGTAGCATGTTCTCAAACAGGAACAGGAATTTCCGTGTTTACAATGAGGCTCCAGAACACAGATTATTTTGTCCGTTCCTTTTTTTCCTCTCGCTGTCCTCCTCCCTCCCCAAGTCAGGCATGCCAGACTGTTCCTTTGCTGTAAGGCAGCCCCATTCAGACCCTGAAGCTAAACAATGCACTGTTGGCTCTTGCTTCGTTTCGTTGTAGTTAATTTAAAATTCTGAGAAACGAAGCATCCAAACAACACGTGTTTGATACTTTCTACAAGGAGCACCTACTGGAATGACGCAGGTTTGCAGGCAGGGAAAGGACTGAGCCTTCCCTCTTCCACCTGAAAGAATCTTCTTCATGGTTTCCTTTTTTTCGTGCTTCCCCCACCCAGCCATTTTTTGTATTTTTAATTCTCCCTCCTTTCCCTGGCACTGGTCTGGGTCAGATGGCACATGCGTGCCACTGCCTGTCTGATCACACTGCCTGGTGCTTCCAGGAATAGGAGAAGGATCAGTACTTCCACAGCAGGGTGTTGAGGGAGGTGTGCATGCAGTGTGCCGCAGGAGTTGCCTGGTGTGCTTCAGCTCACCCTTATGTAAAAATGCATGCTAGGGAGGGGAGGGGAAAGTCAAGTGAGCAGCGTGCTGTCTCTTGCTTGATTAAAGAGCTGGGTTGTGAGGTGGGAAGTAAATTTAGGCTCAAGTGAAAAACAAGCAAAAGACGTTAATCTTTGCCTTTAGGAATTAAAGATGGAATTTTTTATGCAAAGTGAGTTAAGTTTTTATTTATTCTTCTTCCAAAGTCCTTTATACAGATGTGCAGGGGGGAGGGAGCAACAACCCTGGAGGACTTTTGATTCGATTTACCCGGAGTCCTGAGCAGTGACTGCTTGAAAACGAAAAGAAAATTTCAGAGCTAACCTAGTTGCTGTATGAACAGAAATCAGTTGGACGGTTAGTGGGCAAGCCTTAGACCGGAATAAATCCCTCTTGGGATATATTTAACACAACTTTTTCACCTGTTTGGTGCTGTCGTCCCCCCACCGGCCATCCCATTGAGTAGCAACAAACAGTCTATCTATCCCACAATGGTTAGTATAGCACAGGGCTTGATGCAGCCCTAGTTGAGGTCAAGCACTCCAATTCGAGCCTCTCAAGGGCTTTCTCCATGTGTTGCCAGTGTACTGGTAAAAATGACTTTAAACTCTTGTCAGCGCAGTTACTGGTGCATGCATCACAGTCCCACTCAAATAAACCTGTCACAACACAGAGTCAGCAGCTGGAGAAGAGTACAAGGGCAGGCCTCTAGCTTTTCATTCGAGCATCACTAAACGTGCACAGAGTGCCCAATTATTTCAGCATTATTGAGCAAGCCTACAGGAGGACCCAAGCCTTGCTACATTAGATTTTCTTTAGTAATTTGCTCAAGTACCGCTGAGGACACTTAAAGGGCTTAAAACGGTGGCTGCAACCAGTTTCCTTTTCTGGATTGTTAATTCAGGTTTTCTCTTTCAAATTAACTCTCACTGCATGCTGTGCAGTAGCGCTGGGAGAACTGTTTAACACTAATTTTCTCAATTTTCAGCTTTTTTTTTCTTTTGCATTGTATAACTGCTTTTATAGTTACATATGTTTTGATTAGATGTGTACGTGGTGCATTTCTGCTAGAAAGAGTAAAATGTAATACCTCTGTCAGAGAAATATAAATTTCACCAAAACTGAAACCTCCTTTGCTTCATTCTTTTTTTTCTTTTTTTTTTTTTATTTTGTTATTGTTCTTTAAATTAAGCATGAAGTGTAGTGATTATGTTGTGCCCAAATATATGGACATTTTTAAAATGCCAGGATGTTTGTGGGAGTTGATACCTGGATAGATCAGATGCATTGATTGATCTGATCAATCATGTTTGATGTACAGGACCAGTCAGGCAACCCCCGGCTCCCTGAACAAATTCAATATCTGTGTTTCATTTTTCACAGCAGCAACAACTCCAGGCCCAGCATTTGTCACATGGACATGGTCTTCCCGTGCCGCTCACGCCGCACCCCTCGGGCTTGCAGCCTCCAGCCATCCCACCCATTGGCAGCAGTGCTGGGCTCCTGGCACTGTCCAGTGCGCTGGGGGGGCAGTCCCACCTCCCCATTAAAGACGAGAAGAAGCACCACGATAACGATCACCAAAGAGGTAGGTGCTGCCAGATGAGTGTGTGGCTTCATGTGTTTCTCTTTTCTTCTTTCTTTTTTTCCAAACTTTCCTCTTTTAAATAAAAAAGGGGAGGGGTAGGAATAAAGGAATTTTCACGGGAATTCCCAGCTAATTGAGTCAGTATTTATTAGCTAGCAGTAGCCAGAAATTGTGTTCAAATGCTAGGAAACCTTTTTTATAAATCTGGCTATACAGTATTAATATTTAACTGTACAGAAAAGTTAACATCTGTGCAATTTATTATTAAACAGACGTCAGGATTCTTTCTTCTGAGTAAGATAAATGTATAATTTTATGTAAACTAACTAGTACTTTTCTCTTTCTCTCTCCCCCCACCTTCCCATCCGCTGCCCCTGCCGCCTCCCCTCCTTGTGCATGGGCGCTGCTCGGCATGCAGACAGAGACTCCATCAAGGTAGGACTCTGTTTTGTAGGTGTAAGGGGTGGCTCGAAAGAACTGCGTGCTGCGTTTGTCTGACGTACTGCCCAGAGTGGTGGAAAAAGTCACAAAGTGACACTGGGTCGTGACACTCGTGTTGATGAGCGGAGCCCTGCGTAAAATGTGTATCGTACTTGGAAAGTGGCTGGTAGTGGGGCAGCTAGGATTGCAGGCGACGTGCTGTCCAGTGAGTTTGATGGAACAGCGTTGAGGCCGTTCCTGGATGTAAGCAAAGAGCTGCCTGGGGTGTCTGCCTGAGCTTATAAGACAGGAGTAATAAGCCAGTAGTTTTAAGTCATTTGGAGGCTCTAACTGTAATTCTGATGCATGCTAACAATGCGGTTACAGGAGGAGAGCTCTGTCGCTCGCAGGGGGGAGGTGGGGTGCTGCTGCCTCCTGCCCTTGCTGAAGCAGTTGGAGAGGAGCAAGTTGCCATTCCCTACCCTGATGAAGGTGATGCTCGCACTGAGGTTCCCGCTTTCCTTTTTCCAAAAGTTAATTTTCGGACTCTGAATGACTCTGCGGTGTGTGCACCATCCTGTGTGCACGGCAGCGTTCATAAGTACACGTAAAACACACCTTGTGGCTTGTGTAACTGTGAGCATTCAAGTGAGGATGGCGATTCAGTGTATGTGCCTGGGTGCTTGTCGGTGCTGGATAGCCACCAAGGTCTCTCAGAGGCGCCTGGGGTTTTAATGCTCCAGGCGGGAAGGTGTGTCTTGGCCTTGCCCTCTCCTGGGTCGGTCTGCTCTCCTCGCTGCTGCTGCTGCTGCTCGGTGTAACAACTCGCAGGAGACCCCGCAGTTGCCAGCTACACAGTTACCTGCCCTCCTCCGGGTAGCTGGATGTAGTTACAGAGCAGAGCCTGACTGAGTGGCGTGAAAAATTTTTTGCGTAGTTCTTATGCATAGAATTGCGTAAGATTATTTAAGTGATGGTGCACATGAAGTGAAAGATAGACTTCTCTTGCGAAAGGCAAGACCTATGTCCACCCTGTTGAGCACTTACAACCAATTTGTCAAGTTTTTATTTTCAGTTTTTTGAGAAGATGTATCTTATTCCTGGGGTTGGCCAAATGGCAGAAGAAGTGTTCACAGCATGAGCCTTGGGTGCACTGGACAGAGTTACCAGGAGCTTGCCAGGCAGATGTTACTGGTGTGTGCCTTAGACTGCATCGGTGGGAGCACTGTGCCGGGCACAGGCTTTGCCCCCCCGCCGGAGACCCATCTGCCCGGGGCTGCCGTGCAAGGGGCTGTGCCTTTGCTTCTCGGGCAGCTTGAGGTGGGGATGTGTCCCGCAGCCTTCCCCAGCGCACCCGGTCTGCCGCTGGCAGCTCTGCCACGTCCCAGCCCCGCGCAGCTGAGCCGATGGTTGTCAGTTTCTGCTGTTACCCACATGGCTCTGCATAACAACCAGGAGCTGACAGGAACTGTCAGTTTTCACCGTGAGCAGCAAAGGCACTGAAGCTGTCTGTCTGCCGACATAGGACAACAACGCGTCGGATTTCACTTCAGCTTCCTTGTCATGAGGGCTAGAAACTAAGATTACTGCTTTATGCATGCGGCAAGGCTGGGTGTAGATTAATGATGATTTCCCTAGCACACCCCCTGTTCACGGCGAACAGATAGGTTTAGTCTGTTTTCTTTTTTCCTGAACCCAAACAAACTAGTACAAATAGGGCAGATACCTAACTGTGGGACTGCATCCACCCACCTGCGTTCTTTCGCGAGTTTGCATATCTGAACAGTTGGAATCACGAGCATTTCACTCGAGAGTGAATGAGGAGAACTGCTGTTACACACAAACCGCTGTTTTTAAACAAAATACGCTAGTCCTGTTTCTGTAATGTCTGTGGGATGTTGGGGTGTTTATGCTGGAGTTGGTGTTAGAGGGAGGGTTTGTACCAGAAAGGCTGGTTTTGTCTGGGAATGGTTCAAAGGCACTGTTATTGATACGGCATAGAGAGGGACAGCAGGGCGTTGCTACTTTGTGCCAATTTACTTTCAAATGGTAAGTAGATGTTTGTCTTTCGATGTTCGGGGTTTCGAGTTGGCTGGTGTGTCAGCACTGTGGGGCTTGCTGCCAGCTTTGCAAGGTGAAATAGTTTGCTAATTTCCTTAAATGTTTCCAGTGATGCCCAGAGTAGCAGTTAGTTGCTTGTTTGATCGATCTGTCCTCCCTTAAGTGGCTCCTGGTTAAGAGAGGCTTTTTATGATTGTCTGCTGTGTGACTTGAGATGGTTTTTGTCAGCCAGAACGTGCCAGTTGCCAGCCGCTGGAGTCTGTGTGCTTGTATGAAATAATTTATTCATGCAGGATAATGCTCCTTAACATTTAACAGGTAATGAACGTGACATAAATTTCCTTCTTGCTTTTAATTTTTCCCTTTCCTCTTCTAATGTGGAAACAGGCAGCTCTGGTACTCTAAATAGTAAGTAATTTTTGGCCATCTGTCAAAAGGAAATTTCAATACAAATTTAAATTAATGGTGCCTGAAATTTTTTATAGCTCCTCTAAAAGCCTCTAATGTGCAGAAAATTCTGAATCTGCTGGTAGTAATTAGTGTAGCATGTAATGAGGATATGGGCAATGTTATACAGCCCCAGTGTAACGTTTTGATATGGTAGCAAAATTTTGATTTATACAAGGTTGTGCCTGGGTTTAATTGTGAGAGACACTTTAAAGTGTTTTCTTGCTGATACAGATTATTAAGCAGGGCAGATTGTAGAATAGCTCATAAAGTGTAAATTTACGCTTTAGTGTACGATTCAGGTAACGAAGGAGCCCTGTCCACTTCTAGAAAGAAGGGGGTTTGGCTCAAGTGTCCCATTTCTTGCCACTGTTTCCAGTGCTTTCGATTTTTTGAGCAGTTGTCTTTGTGAAACTTGTCTCTAGCTGTGCTGGTCCCGACCCTCCTCCTCATTCAGGACAGGGAAAAGGCGGTTTGCATTGCTCTTCTGAGTGTGACATTTTCTGCCTGGTAGGCCGGACACAGCTGTTCTTGTTCCCAGCACCTCACCGGCATGACCAGTTCGCTGCTGAAACTGAGTGGTTGCCTTTCAGATGAGACGAGATTGTCCGGGAGCTATTCCTAAATAATAGATCACCATCGGCACAGCAAGCTCCTTGGAGAAGGGCGGCTTTGGGTGCTCTTCAGTTTCGTGTTGGTGTCAGTCCTCTGGACCCTTTGCAAAGTTCCAAGTGTGGGAGAACTCCAGACGCGGTGAACTGGGGCACGGGAACGCGCTTTGTGCGGCGGCAGGGCTGCAGGGCGGACGTCTTATATAAAACTTCTTTATAACAACAGAAAAGGAGGATTATTCTGCAGCGGAGTCTTGCTTGCTAATTGCACCCCGTAAGGATCTTTCCATCTCCTGCAAGAACTGCTGATGCAGGAGGCACGTTGTTCTTCCCAGCCTTGGTACCCTCTCGGGGTCAAATGCAGCAAAAGTTTCTCTGTTCCCTAGCAAAGTCACTCCTGTAAAACACGCCCTGTGAAGAAGCTAAGGAAACACTTTGTGTGCGAAAGCGCGACCTGGCAGAAGGCAGCCTGGTGCCAGCAGCCTCATCCCGTGGCCCTCGCTGGGGCGGCTGGACCGAAGGAGCCCCCAGACGTGGGCTGGGGTGCTGACCTGCCAGAGGCCACCATCTCCCTGAGGAGAGCGTTCGGGAGCCTCGGAGTCTGCTGAATTGCTGCCTCGTGTGCAGGATTTGACTCCTGTAACTGCTTTCTCCATCTGTTGTTAATCCAGATCTGTTGTTCTTCATATTCGTGTACTACTTTTTTTTTTTTCTCACCTGAGTTGTAAATTACTTGGGGCAGAGACCATGCCCGTAGTAAGACTTGCCAGTACGGTGAAGACTCACTTTGTTTTGATGCTGGGGTTACTGTTCCAGCAGCAACAAGTGCCAATAGTTAAAAGTTGCAGTCTGGTTGTGGTAGGAGTAGAGCAGCTTCTTTGAGATTCCTCTGGAGGGAAAAAAAAAAAAAAGTTTTAAAAGCAAGGATCTGAAATAGCACATCAAATGCAGGTTTGGAGTGAATTCCTGTCCAACATGCTAGTGAGCTAGAAGTCTGTCAGGGCAAATTCAAGTGGGTTTAGCAATAAGATTACTTTTGCCTAAATCTTTGTGAAGGCTAATAATTACACATGTGACAGAGACAAGGAACGTAGAGGGGCGCGATTCCTACATTTAATTTATGTTTGTGGTGACAGATGCTCCAGTGCTTCACAGTTTAGCCCCTCTAGCCATTAGCCACTACCAAATGTTTAGACCGCTGTTCATTTAGTATGTAAGAGTAAGCTGCTTACTCCTGCAGCTGTAATTTGATACTTTAAAAAAATTGTGTGAGTGTAATGATTCTGGAAAGAACAAGGTAGTTTAAAATCAAAATGCCCAACATACATGATAAGGCTTTTGGATATTACCAAATGTCATTACGTTGCTCGGACTTTGTTCTTCTGCTAGTAGAGGACACCACGTAAACTGCCGTGATGTACTGCTGTGAACTTCGTCTTAATTGTCAGGTTTCTTTGAAATGAGACTTCCTCTAGTGGCATGAGTCTCCCGACAATTGTCTTTACATTCAGTCTGTATTTAACGAGCCAAAGAAACGTAGTTATCTGTTACACACCGAAATAAATTTGCAGAATTTTTTTTCCTGATCATTTTGTTATTTTGTTGCCTTAGTACCCTTCAGCTGAAAAGCACTTCATGGGGTGGTTAAAATCCAAATGTTCCACACTCATGTTGTGGATTCTGCTCGTGCTTTTCTCCGCTGGGACATAAAGCATTGCATGCGTTTTGCTTTCTGTAACGGTGAAGTGGTAGTCGTAAGCTGAGCATGTTTGAACTAAACTTTGCTCTGCAAGAGTTGCGGTTTTCATCTTCGTGGGTGTTTTGGGGGTAATGCTATCAAAATACAATTGAGTAACTTCTGTTGGCTTGCGATACAGTAATTTTTTCAGTATTAAT